CCAGTGCCCCCACTGCTCCGGCTCCCCCACTGCCCCGGCTTCCCCACTGTCCCAGCGCCCCACTGCCCTGGCGCCCCCACTGTCCCAGGACCCCACTGCCCTGGCACCCCCACTGTCCCAGCACCCCACTGCCCAGGCTCTGTCTCTAGGCCTCCCTGGTGCAAGGTTTCCTGGGACGGCTCCAGCCAGGGGACGGAAGGTGGGCCTGGGCACCGGGGGCTGCAGATGGGAACAGATGTGCCAGGGAGACGCTCCGCTGCAGAGCGGGAGGCCAGGTGGTGGGTGGCGACAGGAGGCACTTCAGAGTGATGCCCTGGGCTGCGTCTGGGCCACTACGCCAGCTATTTCTTCTCTGGGGCTCAGTTTGCTCATCTGTAAAATGGGCATGATAATAGCACCTACTTCACGTTGTGAGGATCCAGGGAGGCCCTGCACGGGCCTGGCCCACAGGAGGTGCCCACTGAGTATTGAGAACATCTGCCCTTGGGCAGTGGGCAGGGAGGAGTCCACTCTTCCCACCCGAACCTCTCACGGTGGGTGGGAGCACTTGCCCACCTCACCCCAGGCAGCCACCCCACTGCCAAGGGGGCGGGGCAGAGGGTCTGGGAGACCAGGCCCCCACCTCCCACCCAGGAAAAGGGACCCCGTGGGATGGTGGAGGGAGAGGCCTTGGCTGGGTGGTTCTTGGGTGGAGGGGCGAGCCCCAGCTGGCAGATCAAACTTGAGGCGACAAATGAGAACAGCGTCCAGAGGGGAGGTGGCTTCTCGCCCTCACAGGGGGGCTGCTCTGCCTGCTTTGTTGCTGTTGTTGTTGCTTTAATATGTCTTCACTGATGTCAGAGAGGAAGGGAGAGGGAGACAGAGATAGACGCATCAATGATGAGAGAATCATGGGCCGGCTGCCTCCTGGAGACCTCCTACTGGGGATCGAGCCCGCACCCCGGGCCTGTGCCCTGACCGGGACTGGAGCCCACAGTCAGACAGGCTGGTTTTGCACTAGAAAAATACCATCATCCGCGCACACAGGGGCACCCATGTAGATTCCAGAGGTTCCGGCCCAGCTCCAGGCAGCAGCACAGGGTCAGGGGGCCCAGGCTTTACCGCCCCGGGACTGGGGTTGGCACCTTGCACATGCCCTGGGCTGGGCACCGTGGGCTGGGCTCCTGGAGTCCTTGAGTCTCGGCCATGACATGTGGTCACGGCAGCACCTGCCCCCCTCCACCCCCCCCACTGGCGGCTCTCCAGGGCGGGGCACTGCAGACACACGTGGGCCCGCCCTCCCTGGCATCACTGTGGGGCCCTGGGTGCCA